GGGAAAGAGAAGGGAAAGGGAAGAGAAAGAAAAGAGAAGGGGAAGGGGAAAGGGGAAGGAAAGAAGGAAAGGGAAAAGGAAGGAAAGGGGAGGAAAGAAAGGAAAGGGAAGAGAAAGAAAAGAGAAGGGGAGAGAAAGGAAAGAAGGGAAAGGGAAAGGGAAGAGAAGAGAAGAAAAAAGGAAAGAAAAAAGACAGAAAGGACAGAAAGACCGAAAGAAAAGAAAACCACCGTCTTTTTTTTTCTTTTTTTCTTTTTAAAAAGATACGATTTTGTTTAGTCGCTAAGAGAGACGGTTTTCCGAAGACAGAGAAAACGCGCAAGTAGTCATTTTTTGACAGTTTGACTGAAAGACAGAGCTAATTTTATTCGGTTTAGTTTGCTCCAGCTGTTGTCAACCAACCGCCACACACCGGCCTCTTGTGATCGTTCAGGCGGCAGTATCTGTTGAATTTCTCCTTCAGATGCTGTCGGTACCGCTCTCTATTGCTGTAAAAGGACTCGTTGTTGGCCATGAAGGACTGGATCTCATCTTGCGAGATGAATATTTCTTCATCGGAAGTGCATTCGGACTCATCCTGAAAAAGCACAAAGGGAGAGAGACGAGAAATGCAAAAAACCCTCGACTTAACAGCCGTTCGTTTAGGGGATGTTCGAACTTGCCAGGGGTGGGCAGCTGGGGGTTCGCAGGAGTTCGGAGAGCCCAGGGGTGGGATTCTACCAGTTCGCTAGAACCGGTTGTTAACATTCTAAGCAGTTCGGAGAACCGGTTGTTAGAGGAAATTACTGGCCTAATCCTGTAAGTAAGGCAGGAAGGAAACATTCTGGGGTTGCTTACAGAAACTGCCTCTCCGTTAACCCTTATTACATTCTTGGCAGGACTAGACTTCCTATCTCTGGAACTTCTCTGGAGTTTTTTTCCCCCTCCTTTGCTGGTACTTTGCTTGTGTGGAGGGACCATTCAAAGTTACAATGGCACTGAAAAAAGTGACTTATGACCGTTTTTCACACTTACAACTGTTGCAGCATCCCCACAGTCATGAGAGGCCAGGCGAGGAGATGCGTGCCTCGATGTGAGTGATATTGAGTTGGCCACGCCCAGCCAATAACATGACCACCAAGCCATGTCCACCCAGTCACATGACCACCAAACCATGCCCACCACCTAAGCCAGGGATCTCCAACCTTTTCGACGCCGCGGCCCGGTTCCGGCGTCAGCTGGGCGCCGCGGCCCGGTTCCGGCGTCAGCTGGGCGCCGCCATCTTTTTTTGACGAAAAATCACTTCCGGTGACGTCACCGGAAGTGATTTTTCATCAAAAAAAATGGCGGCGCCCAGCAACCAGCGGCCCGGTAAGGCTTGTTCCGCGGCCCGGTACCGGTCCGCGGCCCGGCGGTTGGGGACCCCTGACCTAAGCCACGCCCACAGAACTGGTTGTTAAAAATTTGAATCCCACCCCTGGGAGAGCCCCCTAACTAAGATTCTGTGCAGTTCAGAGAACCCCCAAATCCCACTCCTGGCAGCTTCCCACCCACCCCTCTCCTCCCAGGAGTCCCCACGTGGGCCGTTTTGGATGCAGGTAAGGGCAGGGTGCACGCAGTGGCTCAGGGAGGGTGAAAAACATGCCACGATGAAGTTCGGGAAGCCTGGAAATGGGCCCGTGTCCGGCTTCCAGAGAGCCTCTGGAGCCCGGGGGGAGGCAGTTTTCACCCTCCCGGAGGCTGAGGAAAGCCTCTGGAGCCCGGGGAGGGCAAAAACACCCCCCTTCGCCATGGTGTAGGAGGCCAACTAGGCCAGGCCCACCCAGTAACTGGGCAGAAAACCCATGGCTAAAATTTTTGAAGCCCACCCCTGACGATTGTCCTGAAAAAGGTTAAGTGTTTCACACTTACGACTGTTTGCAGCATCCCTATGGTGAACTGATCAAAGCCCAGTTTTAACATTCCGGGGGGGGGGGGGGGGGGGCGGAGGGTGAGGGTGAAGTGAATGTAACCGTTGTTAAATGAACCCTTTTTAACCAGTGGGTTACTTGCAGGATGGTGATAGCAATTGCACTGACTTATATACCGCTTCACAGTGTTTTACAGCCCTCTGTAAGTGGGTTTACAGAGTCAGCCTCTGGCTCCCAACAATCTGGGTCCTCGTTTTACCCAACCTTGGAAAGATGGAAGGCTGAGTCAACCTCGAGACGGTCAGGATCGAACCTGGCAGTGGCCAGAGTTAGTTTGCAATAGCAATAGCACTTAGACTTATATACTGCTTCACAGTGCTTTACAGTCCTCTCTCAGTGGTTTTGCCCCCAACAATCTGAGTGCTCATTTTACCGACCTCAAAAAGATGGAAGATTGAGTCAACCTTGAGTCGGTCAGGATCGAACTCCTGGCAGTGGACAGAGTTAGCCTGCCGTAGCAATAGCACTTAAGACTCATATACCGCTTCACAGTGCTTTACAGCCCTCTGTTTACAGAGTCAGCATCTCGCCCCCAACAATCTGGGTCCTCATTCCATCGGAAGGATGGAAGGCCGAGCCAACCTCGAGACAGACAGGATCGAACTGCTGGCAGTTGGCAGAGGTAGCCTGCAATACTGCATTCTAACCACTGTGCCATCAAGGTTCTTAGCAGAAGTAAATTCTGGTGTCTGGCATTAAAAAAAATGATGAAAATTGTGGTCACAAGACATGGGATACTGCAAACAGTCTTAAGCACCCAAATATGACCACATGATCGTGGGGGTGTGAGCGCCACTGGAACTTTGAGCCTGGGTCCTAAGCTCTGGGAAAGTCTGTTGTAATGTCCAAAAGTTGCAAAGCAACCACTGTTAAATCAAGAATGTCCTCTTCGAGGTAGTTCACTAAATCGAGAATGTCCTCCTTGTGGGACAGTTATCTTTGGACTTAATTGCTTATGATGTATTCAGTCCAGAGTCACAAACTGTGAGTGATGTGGGAAGAGAGCCGTGTTAGTCTACAATGGCAAAATAAATAAATAAGTAAATAAACAAACAAATAAATAAAACAAACAAACAAACATCAGGAGCCTGGTAGCATCTTCTCTGACTAACACATTGTATTAAAAGACAGAAGCTTTTTGTAAGCTGCAGCTTAGATTATCAGATACCACAAGGGGTTAGACTGAGACGGATAGAGCATTTAAATCGGATGGCTGAAGGAACGAATAAATAAATGGCATCAATCAATAAGAGAAATAAATAAAGTGAAATAAATAAATGGCAAAGATGATTAGGGGGCTGGAGGCTAAAACATTATGAAGAATTTCAGGAATTGGGTATGTCTAGTTTCATGAAAAGAAGGACTGAGGGTGACATGATAGCAGTCTTCCAATATCTGAGGGGCTCCCCCAAAGAAGAGGGAGTCAAGCTATTCTCCAAAGCAGCAGAAGGCAGAATAAGAAGCAACGGATGGAAACTAATCAAGAAGAGAAGCAACCTAGAAATAAGAAGAGATTTCCTAATGGTGAGAACAATTAATCAGTGGAACGATTTGCTTCCAGAAGTTGTGAATGCTCCAACACTGGAGATTGGACAACCATTTGTGTAACATGGTACAGGATTTCCTGCTCGAGCAGGGGGCTGGGCTAGATGACCTCCAAGGTCCCTCCCAACTCTGTTATTCTATGGTCTATATTCTATGAGTAAGTGAATGAATACAACAAATAAGTGAATAAATGATAAGGAAATATATAAGGAAATGAATGAACAAATGGGTAAGTGAGTAAGTGAATGAGTAAGTAAATGAATGAATAAACGGGTGAGTGAATGAATAATTGAATAAACAAATGAATAAGTGAATAAATGAATAAAAGTATGAACAAATGGGTAAGTAAATGAATGGATATATGAATTCATGAATCTCTCACTTTCCCCAATCTTACCTGAGCTAGTACCAATTAATTCTCCTGATCATGAGCTCCAACACCAGCCTGGTCCATTTTAACCAAGGCTGCTTTCTCACTCCTCTCTCTTAGCAAAAGCAGACTGCAAGGCCAACTCATTCTTAAATGTCCCAAAGATGTTTTTTTTTCAAAAGGCAGCTGGACTTTGTTTTTCCTGGAAGATGTTTTGCTTCTCATCCAAGAGGCTTCTTCAGTTCGGACTGAATGGTGGAGGATGGTTTTTTTTCCTGAGTGGATAGCTTTCTCTCAACAGAGAATCAGAATAGAGATGGAAGGGACCTTGGAGGTCTTCTAGTCCAGCCCCCTGCTCAAGCAGGAGATCCCTAACCACTTCAGACAAGTGACTGTCCAGTCTCCTCTTAAAAATCTCCAGGGACGGAGCACCCACAACTTCTAGTGGCAAGCTGTTCCACTGGTTAATTGTCCTCACTAGTAGGAAGTTTCTCCTTAATTCCAGGTTGCCTCTCTCCTTGATTAGTTGCCTAACATTGTTTCTTCTCTCTGATGCTTTGAAAAAATAAATTGACGGATACGACGCCACCTCTCTTCTGCTTACAACACCGTCCTTTCAGCAGCTCCAAAAAGGCTCCACACCCATTCGCACTCTGATTCAGGTGACCCTGAGGGCACAGATAAAACCTCCAAGTGGCCTCAATGATCCTCAGAGAGAGTGCAAACGACCAGATGAGCGCAAAGGAGTATACATCCTCCCATCCTCCATCATTCGGTACAGAACTGAAGAAGCTTCTTGGATGAGAAGCGAAACCTCTTCAAGCACAAAAGCAAAGCCAACCCAGTTGCCCCTTGAGGGAAAAAAAAAAAAAGCACCTTTGGGGGGGGACAACCGTGGCCCGGATGACGGAGAATCTCCACAGGCGTATGGATGTCCTTTGGGACTTACCAGGAGTTCCACCAAACTCTTTGTGCCCTTCCCTGATTCGGGAGCAGGGGATGCCTCTGAAGATTCCGCACACAACAAGGCTGTTTTCCTGTGCTCCAGCCAAGGTACCGTTGCGGGCCCAGCTTTTTCTATGCGACAACAGATTTCGGCACGGGGGTCTTTGGTCTTGTCTCGGTGGTAGTCTGTGTGCGTGGCAGTCACCGGACCCTCTCGGTTACTGGTCTCCACCAGGCAGCTACTCAGCTTTTGGATCTGGAGGCAGGGGGAAAAAAATAGCCACAGCGCTTAGACTTATAGGCCGCTTCACAGTGCTTTACATCCCTCGCTGAGTGGTTTACAGAGTCAGCCTATTGTCCTCCAACAATCTGGGTCCTCATTTGATCGACCTTGGAAGGATGGAAGGCTGAGACAGGATCGAACTCCTGGCAGTGGGCAGAGGTAATCTGCAATAGCACTAGCAAGAACACGCAGACTTATATACCGCTTCACAGTTCTTTAAAGCCCTCTCTGAGCGGTTTACAGAGTCAGGGTCTGGCCCCTTACAATCTGGATCCTCATTTTACCCACCTTGGAAGGATAGAAGGCTGAGTCAACCTTGAACCGGTCAAGATCGAACTCCTGACAGTGAGCACAGTTTGCCTGCAATAGCAATAGCACTTAGACTTATAGGCCGCTTCACAGTGCTTTACATCCCTCGCTGAGTGGTTTACAGAGTCAGCCTATTGACCCCAACAATCTGGGTCCTCATTTTATCGACCTTGGAAGGATGGAAGGCTGAGACAGGATTGAACTCCTGGCAGTGGGCAAAGTTAATCTGCAATAGCACTACCACTTAGAGTTATATACCGCTTCATAGTCTTTAAAGCCCCTCTCTGAACGGTTTTCAGAGTCAGAATCTTGCTCCTAACAATCTGGATCCTCATTTTACCCACCTTGGAAGGATGGAAGGCTGAGTCAACCTTGAGCCGGTCAGGAATGAACACCTGGCAGTGGGCAGAGTTAGTTTGCAATAGCAATAGCGCTAAGACTCATATACTGCTTCACAGTGCTTTACAGCCCTCTCTAAGCGGTTTTACAGAGTCAGCATATAGCCATTTATTGTCCCCTTTTTGACGTCCAATCACTGACTGGCTCATTGGACATTCCCACTCTCTCTTGGGGGGGGGGTGTCTATACTGACCACTTTGTGAAAGCCTGGTTTAGACCACTCTCTCTTAGACCGAGAGAGCTAGGATTTATCTGTTTTGTGGAGCTGGGCTGAAATCCACCTGGCAGTTTTGCAAATCTCCTTCCTGGTGGTTTCTTTTTTTAACCTTACTCTCAAGGGCCTTAAGAGTTTATTTTGCATTTCCCCAGGTAGGGTTTGTTGAGCTGTCCTTGTTATTCAGGGGACAAATGATGGGGACAACAAATTTTGTCAGCTTTCTTTCAATCCCTCTGAAGTTTGCCCGCCTACCCTCATTTTCCAACTTGCTCAAGTCCTGGGAAGGGTGTCATTTGTTTATTATTTAGATCTATTTACATGGTTGCACAACTCAGATGTAACTTTAGTTGGGAATAAAAAGGAATCATCAAATCAAATGAAAAAGACAACAATGCTAACACGTCGTATTAAAACCAACAGACCATAGTCAGAACTCAAAATTGAAACTAATCCATCAGAACTAATCAAATCAGAACTAATCAATCAGAAACCAGAACTAATCAAATCAGAACTAATCAATCAGAAACCAGAACTAATCAAATCAGAATAACCAATAAGAAACCAGAACTAAACCAGAACTAATTAAATCAGAATAATAAATCAAAAACCACAATTAATCAGTCAGAAATCTGAACTAATCAAGTAGAAATCAGAGCTAATCAAATTGGAATAATCAGCCAGAAATCAGAGCTAATCAAATCAGAATAATCAGAAATCCTCCTCAATCAGAACTATTCAAATCAGAACTAATCAATCAGAAACCAGAACTAATCAATCAGAAACCAGAACTAATCAA